TATGACTCCAGTGGCTGGCAGTTTTTTTGGTGCAGGGCCTTTGCATGGGGGCCACTTTCAAATTCGTTCCTCAAAGAAATGTGTCAGGTGCAGTGTTTTCTTTAGGCTCCAGGACCTGGTCCCAGTCACAATGCCTGTGAGTAGGGTGGTTGAAGCCACCGAGTCTGAAGAGGAGGACTTGGCGCCTATGAAGCAGCGGCCTGAGATCTTGCCATTAACATGTGAAAACGAATACTGAAAGCTGCTTTGGAAGTTTGGGGTGTTGTTTTATATAGACCCCGACGATTATGTAGTTATATATTCTCTTATGTAACTTATGTATTCTCAGAGGTCATTGAAGAGAAAGCTGCAGCCCTCGCGACAAGTTCCCAAACCGATGAAGGTGCCACATTGTGTTTGACGACTGGCATTGAATGAATATTGTTTTGCAACTTTAACTTTCTAGCATCGTTTGAGGCAGTGAAGAGGCGCCCACTGGGTAGAGGTAGCTTGAAAAAGAAAGTGAAAGGAAAGAATCAGAAACTGAAGTCTGTTTGGCACCGGACTGGGACTGAAACCTTGCCTAAGTTTGGCTGTGCGGTTTCAAAGTCAAAACAGACGTTGCTGATCACCCCTGCTAATGTGAAGCTGGGGAAAGCTGCGCCGCTGAAACTCCGTGTCTGAGTCCAAGTGAGCATTTTTTCTGATACTTGGCCATAATAGTACTTGGCCTATGACTTTGTGATTTGAGGTTTCCACGCAGTTGACGGGTGCCAAGCCCAAGCTCCGACAACGATGGAAGAAGGTTCATGCTTTTTCAGGGACCCGCTACTTCAAAAGCTGGAGTTCAATTCGTGCAGGCCTCAAAAATTAGAGATCCAATCATTACTAGTTGCAGCAGGTGTTTGCTAGTGTCAGCTTCTAGGTGTGTTCAAAGCCACCACTCGGGCAAGCGATGCACCTTCTACTCGCGGAATTTGGGCTGGGGTCTGAATGACAGTTTTGAACTTTGCAATCGATCTGAATTCGAACATCTTTTAGGATTTTGCCAATCAAATTCGTTGGAGCTCTGACTATGTCAACGAGTGCAAGAAGGTTGGCAAGAACCCTGGGACGTTTCTAAGCCCGGCTGCTGGAGAATTCTTCTCAGGCCTTTGGGAACTTCACCTTCTAAGTTGGTGTTGTCTTTCAAAGTGATACTGACTTGCGCATTGAATTTGGCAGATGACGAATGGTTTGAGTAACGCTACCTGTCAATGTTTGGTTGGAGGTCTACCGTTGAATTGGACATCTGTGAGGGACGCTGTCAACAAGGAGCGCTTCTTCCAGCAGTTTCCTGACATGAAGAGCAGCAAGGCCCTTTGAATTTGGTCTCTGTCTTCCCTGCCTCTTTTCCCTTTGCATTCAAACCTTTCTTTTTTGAATGCCAGGCAGCCTCAAAGGTTCCCGTGATTGCTATGTTTGCTGGATGTGGAGGGCTTGAACTGGGCCTTTCAAGGCCTGTGAGTGCTATGTTGCATGTTCCATCAAAAGCGTTCAACGACCTGTCCGTTGTGTTTGGTTTCATTGCCAGGTATGTTTCTGCAATTGCCTTTGTCATCGACTTGGTTTTTTCCGATTCCAGTTCTTACTTTCAACTTTGAGGTGGCCTGCAGAATCGAACTGCACCGGGATTAGTATTTTGTAGCTTTTTACGTCGGGCCACGGGCCAAGGTCGAACGAGACAGCTACTGTCAGCAAATTTTGAAGAAAAGGATGGATGAGGGATTGCTGGAGAGAGTGGAGATCCATTCTGATGTGACTACCTACGATGGTTCCAAGTCCCGCGCGTTGGGCTGCGGAGGGGGCTTCCCTTGTCAGGCAGGAGTTAGTTTATGATTATTCTTTCCAATGCTTCCAACGTTTGTCCTGTCAGGGAGTTTCGACAGCGTCCGCCCAGGGTGGGCTCAAGGACAAACGCACCGGACTTGTCAAACACATTTTTCGTGTGTTTGACACACTTCCGCAGAAACAGCAGCCACGAACTCAGGGTTCCGGGTTCTGCAGAGTTTGTGGATTTGCAGTTTATTCTCAATGGTGTTCTCTTACTGTTGTTTTTGGTATTTTTCTGGCACCGTTTCTCATGAGGCGCTTTTTGTACTTTGAAAACGTGAAGGCCCTGCTCGGGAAGAAGCAGTCAATGCGGAATCTCTTTCATTACGTTGCCCAGGACTTTTGTGTGCTTTATAATTTTCAGTGAGCAGTGAGCATCAGAATCAGTGAAACTGTTGCCGCTCCAAACTGTTAGGCTAACATGTGGCCAGGAGATCTCTGCCCGCAACATGGTGTTGCATTGGGCAACGGTATCGCTGTCCAACCTGGGCCTGGCAGCTCCTTGCCTTAAGTTACCTGACCTTTGAACCTTTAGAACTTAAATGGATACCCGAAATTAAGATATGATATGATGGCAATGAAGGAATAATCAGAAAGAGTTTAAACCACTTGACGTTGGTTGAAACTTGAGTTTCTCAGTTACTCCATTTCCAGGCCAACAGGGGCCGGGTGTTCTTGTGGGGGCACTTTGCCAAATGACCAGACTTTGTGCAAGGATTGATCACCGTTTCATCTTCAATGCTCACCATGTTGTATCTCTTAAGATTTTGCAGGACCTGCGCTTGGAGCCTTTGGCGTCCTATTTGCACCAGTCAGGGGTTTGGAACGAGTACAACCAGGTTCCCAAGCATTTGTGGCTTGAAGAGGCACCAAGTGAGGACCATGATTCACGCATGAAAGTCCTTGGAAATTTGGTGGTGCCTTGTTGTGCCAAGCTCGGAGCATCGATTGCCTTGGGATTGGCCAAGTCCTATGACCAGGAAGCTTAAAGCGTCCTTGACTTGCCAATTTATTTTAGAATTTGCCACGAGAAGCAGTTTGCAGTTGCCAGCCTGGTTGATTTCAACCGTGGTCTCAATGGGCCCTGAACGGGAAAACATCACAGTTCTCAGTCACTCAGGTTCACACAATACTAGTTTGCTTCAGCTTGGTTTACACTTTGCGCCATTGACTTGGTTATTTGTTTGGTGCATCTCTGATGGCTCTCAGTCCCAAAGACGTAACTATATTGGACCCAATTTGAATCAATTTTGTTGGCAGTTCATGGTGAAACAACAGGTAGATTTTCAGCTGTCAAGTTTGAGACTGAGATTCAATTATGGCATCGCATACCCCTGGCCGGAAGCGGAAAGTGGAGGAAACTTGTCCTTGCCAGACTGAAGGAGCTTCCTCAAAGGACCAGGCTCAGCTAGTCAACGGGAAAGTACGGACTACTGGCTTGAACGCTGTATTGTTTCCTGGCTGCGTCAAGTGTTACCGTGCAGGCTAGATTCTTTATTGACATTTATGAGACTAGTTGACTTTCTTCGAGATTGCGCAGTATTGCTGTGTTCGCTTAGGGTGCCTCGTGATACATTTGTTACTGCCAAGTGGCATGGGCAGCAGAGTCTTGGCATAATAGTTTGATACGATCGAGCATTTTGAAGCCACTTGCTCTATTCTGACACTTTGAAACTGTGACAGCTCAGGGTTGGTCAGTTTTCTTTTGACAAAGTATGTATTGCTATGTATTGCGATGGACGTTCCAGCCTTCAGGTGGGAATGGTCGTGGACTTTTCTGGAATGGTTTCCGTCTAGTACGTCGAACTTGGCAGCGCAAACAATAGGCTCCAAGCAGGGGAACGAGGAGGCTTCAGCTGTGAGTGGTCAAAGTTAGAAAGCGGGCGTTTGTCGTTCAAGTCTTGAAAGCTAGAAACCAAGCATTAGAATCGTGCAAAAGGGTTCAGCTGCCAACTCAGCTCTGCTGCATTTTTACTGGAATGGTGGCTACAAACTGTGGAGAACATTGATCGCGTGTTAGAGTCGTACTGCTGCTGTGCTTTTAGAGGCTCCTATGTTTTTAGTAAGAATGATGGCAAGCGATCTAAACAGCTGCCTTCATGACCCTATTCTTCGCAACAAGCAGGATTTTAGATTTGAAAGGAAACAATGCTACCATTGAATTGGATATTACAATAAACACCCGTTCATTTCTATAAATACCAACCCAAGACTCAATTGAAAAATAGAAGGGCTTTCACAGAATCGACATGACTGTTGAGCTGCCTACTATGTAAGGCACGTAGGAACAAAGAACTTTCTGTTGATTTTGCCTCACCCTCCCGGCATGGCGCGATGCCATGCTGCGTCGTACTATCACGGACTTGTCAGAGTCCACAGCAGAGTCCGAAGAGGAGGTTCAATCTACCAAGAGGGGTGCGAAAAGGAAAGCTTCAGGCGCTCAAAGGTTCGACTTGGATGACCCAGTAGGTCTCCAAGTCTTGTTGTCCAAGCCTTGCGCTACCCAGGGATGCACCAAAAGATGCAAAGATCACTTTTTGAAGGGAAGCCGGTTTGGGAGTTTGCTGGATTTTCATAAGAAATGGAAAGCTTACCACAAACTTGACCGAGACCAAATGGTAACTTGAATCAAGTTAGTGCCAAACAAGTTTCAATTCAGCTTTCAGTTTTAAGTCTCACAAGTTTTTCCGAAAAAATAGAAGGGAACCGGGGAATGGCCTTCAAGGTATTCGATGAAATCAAGGCCGTTGAGTCAGCCAGGGAGCACGCCAACAAGTCGAGCTGCTCTTGGGAATTTCTGGGGCATCCGGTGTGTTTCAAGGCTTGGAAACAGCTTCATGGCCTTGGCCACCAGGCTTTAATTTATATTCCTTTATGTTCCTGGACTGGAAATATCATTTCATGTTGTCTATACAGTTTGGGGCTCAAAACACGTTGCAAAAGCAATTGCCTTACAAATCATTATGATGGTATATTGTTAACATTCATTGTTGCTATGTTTCTTTTCCTCCTTTTGCTCAGGAAATGGCAGGTGTGAAAGACTAGCTCGAGCTGTTCGACAGGGGTTGCCCGCACCGCCAGCGGATTTGAGGTACCTGAAAATCAGGAAACACGATCAGTCAAGGAGCTTAGAAGTTACTGCTGATGTCATGGAGTTTCTTCGCAAAATTTACTGCAGCGTAGCCGAGACCCTCCCTGACGTCAAAGATGGTACTTTGTCAGATGATGACATGGAGGATGAGTCAGTTTTCAAGTTGGTGGCAACTCAACCCTTAGAGTCAGAACCATATGCGGATTTCAATACTTTGCGCTTGAAAGTGGAGGCAACCATGGAGCCACTCCCTTCCTCTGGAAAGAGAGCCAAGCCAAGGAAGATGAGAAAGTCAATCCCTATCAGAGAGGGAAGAACAACTGCTGAGTTTGAGGAGAGGTATCTACCACCAGGCACCATGCAAGAGTACTTTGTGCAGTATGTGCGACAATCTGCTTTGGAGCAGCCAGCGAGCTTTCCATCGTTCTGGCGAGCGCCTAGTTTGTAATTTGATGCGACAGTGATTTTATGACTGAAGTCAGTGATACACGTTTTTGTGCGACATGCAGTTCTAAATTTCTGTTGGTTGCTGACCAACACTAGACACAAAAACGCGCGCGCACACACGAGAGGTCTGGGCTTCAAACTATTCATTTTTGAAGTTCCGCAGTGCATCCTCCCACTCAATCTGCACGGAATGCTACAAACACAAGGCCTTGATCAGTGCACTGAGCAGGCACATCAGTGCACGACGAACCCAAGAGTCTCTTTATCACCAGCACCTGGAAGATCAATTCAGAGATCGAATTTGTTATTGGGAGGCAAGGGGTGAGAGCAGGTCACAAAGCAGCCGGGTGACCTTGATCATAGATGGAATGGATCAAGGAAAGTTTGGGCTGCCACGGCATAAGAGCGTCAACACCAAAGCTCTGTCTGGCTTTCAAAGGCCACGGTTGCACGTGGCAGCAGCCATATGCCATGGCCACTTCATCTCAGCATATGTCACGGATGGAGACCTGTGCAAGGACTCCAACACGTCGATGGAAATGCTATCCCATTGCTTGGATATGCTTGGCGGCCGAATCTCCCTCCACACTTGTGATTTGGTGATCCAATGCGACAACACATATCGCGAAGTCAAGAACAACCATATCTTCAGGTGGGCCGCCGCGGTTGTATCATGTGGGCTTGTCCGCTCCCTTACGGTTAGCTCCTTAAGGAGCGGACACTCACATGAAGATATCGATCAGCTTTTTGGCCAGATCGCAACGTTCCTCAAAACCCAGAGATCACGAATGACTCCAGAAGACTTTGTCGACAGCCTCAAAGTTTGCTTGTCTGGCCTTCAACGGCCATTTGAGAAGGAACGACATGTTTGGAAGCTGGATCAAACCAGAGATTGGTTTCTGGGACTTGCTTTCAGCAAACGGTTTGCTCCACACGTGACACACCACCTCACCAACACCACCTCACCACCTCAGTCCTGCCCAGCAGATATATTCAAGTAACCGCAGCACAGTTCACACCTGACGCTTTGAGTTGGAGTTTGAAACCAAGATTTGAGTCTGTGCTTAGGCGTGGTTGGCTTTTGAGCGGCATCCCTGCGAGCATGAAGGGTGTTGGTGGCCCTGGAGCGCCGCATATCTTTGAGTTCCATCGACTCTGTAACACAGGCGCGGTTGCTTTCAGAGTGCGTGTGACTCAACACCTGGTCTTGCCATGAATTCTTCATTGGCCTTCAGAGTTTCAAACCACTGAAGGCATTGAGACGAAGAACATCTTGGAATATGCCAAGTTCAAGAAGCATCAGTTCCACCCACATGACGTTATTGTTAGGAGCCATGTCTGTTTGATTCGGGTGCTGTCAGATGTACCTAGTGCTCGTCGTTTGGCTTACCTTTTTTCGAGGAGCCTAGGATTGGATCCATACAATGACAACCTCACTCCTGTGGTAGTGTTGTGAAGGTTTTTCACACCATTATTAGGTTCAAAGGATTCTTGAGATTGTTCATAAATTGACGGCGCTAAGGACGAAACAATGGATGGCAGGTCGGAGGTATTTTCCTGCTTTGCGATTCTACCCTAGAGAGCTGGCAGAACAAATCTTGCCGGCCGGACTTCCAACAGGCGACCACTGGTTGGTTGTTGTTTGCTGATGAATTTACATGATAAATTTTACATGTCTTACAAGTTTACAAAGAAACGGCAATGCTTGGATTTCCTTTTTGTCAGTTGTGGCTCCTCGCAAAGATCTTGGAGACGACTATCGCGACCATGTGCTCAAATACACACCGATCATGCGGCTACCAGAGATTGGGTTGGGCCGAGCGGCCGATTACCTAGAAAGCTGGGTGTCAGGGACCTGTAAGTGGACAGCGCTATTTCCATTGAACCGGTGCTTTGACTATTACCCAAAGATCTTTTAGCTTATTTGTTCTAATCTCCAGGGTTGATTGAAACTCTTATTATTGCAAAGGTTTTTTGTTGAACCACAAAGCTTATAATATTGATGCGAAATTCCATTTTATGTGTCGCTTTAACATTCTTTCGCTCACAAAGATTTCTTTGGGGTGGGTCCCGTTGTTAGTTTGTTTCATTCCTGGCTGAGGATGCGATTGGGGATGCCGGCCTCACGAACTACTAACCATGCTCTTCCTGGGATGCTTTCACCGACTTCTTTCTTTGTTCGGCCGAATCGGGTGAGGCCAGAAGTGAAGAACCATATATTGACCTGTTGAAGATTTGCTCACTGTTTACAGTGATTTCAGAACTATATATATAAATATATGCGTGCATGTTCTAGACTTCCCATTGACTCTGCAAAAGCTATTTTAGACAAAGATAGAATCTAATTCTGGAGTGTTCTGTTTTTTGTCCTCCTGGCTTCAAACTGAAAGGGACTGACTCAGCATTTGTAGTTCTGACAACCATTGTCTTCAGGATTGCCGCGGCAGAAAATCGCTCAAGGGAAGTGGGGCTTTATGGGCAGCGAGCGGTTTTGCAAGCTGCCGCTCATTTGTGGGCATCTGGTTTGCCTTGGGAAGAAGCTGAGGCGGTGGCGCTAAAGGCTTTTGGTGATCCCAAGCCAGGCAAAAAAACTGGCAAAGGAAACACCGGCAAAGGCCGGGGGAAAGGGAAGCGTTAGGATTTGAGTTGGCTGGCCCTATGTGAGAAAACCTGTGTTGCAATCAAGTTGCTCTCATTTTGAAGCCCTTCAACAGCCTAATAAACACATTAAACTTTATGAATCCTTTTTTTGTGGAAGCCTACTAATACTAATCCTAGTCATTTTCCGAAAATTTGCGGAACCCTAAACCCTAAACGTTGTGGCAATTTTTTCGCGAGAGTTGCCGCCTATACAACACTGAGGCTGGGGGCTCAGGTTGGTTGTTGAGGTTGGAGTAGCGTGCACTAGCACCACAGGAAGTCAGGCTACCGCACGCTTGGGAAGGCTTTTCCTGATCACAACAAAATTGAATTCGACTCTGAAACCTACCAAAATTTCAGGCACTCTCAGAGTCCAAAGTGACCTCACTTTGGACTCTGAGCACCTTCCAGGCTGAAACCCATCCAGTTTTCAAAAATTGATTCATAGGGTGTTTTTTTCCAGGAGGGGCCTCAGAGTCCAAAGTGACCTCACTTTGGACTCTGAGGGGTCTTTTTTTCAAGGTCAAGTTAGAGTCCAAATGTCAAGAGCTTTCATTTAAACACAAAACTCAGAGTCGAATGTGAGGTCACTTTGGACTCTGAGATTTTTGAGAGTCGGATTTGGTTGGGATTCGACTCTGAGATTTTTGAGAGTCGGATTTGGTTGGGATTCGACTCTGAGATTTGTGAGAGTCGGATTTGGTTGGGATTCGACTCTGAGTTCTTTTATGAGTCAGATTTGGGATTCGACTCTGTCAGATTTTGAAGGGATTCTGGGATTTACAAACCTCCCTCCGTCCAACCCCCTCCCCCTTTCATGGATGTGTTGTGGGTTGGGGGGGTTGATCAGGATTCGATTCTGAAGCTTTTAACTAGGGTCAAGTTTCAGGGCCTGTTGAAATTTGTCTTCTTACTAATAAGGGAATGGTAGTTTTTCATCCATCTTGAAACCCTTATCCCGGTGAGAAGCTTACTGTTTGGTACTGAACAACATGAGATGTTATCATTTCTTCAAGCAAATCAACTGAGTATGATTTTTATGACTTTATTGTTGACGAATGGTGGACCCTGATCAATATAAAGTTTAAAGGCTTTTGACGTTCAAACGTTCAATTCAAATGACCACTCAAAGGACAAACGTTTGTGTGGTATTCTTGTTCAAAGTGACAAAGAAATCAGTAAAAGCAATTTGAAGGTGTGTGATAACTTTAGATGCCAAACACTGTTGGTGTTAATAGTCTGAAGCATAAAGGAAACTTGCACGCTGGTTCCAAATCCTCAAAAAGTCCTAAGTTAGGTTGTTGAGGGGCTGATTTGACACTGAGTTTTGAATTGTTATGTTACAGTGGCAGCCACATTGTGAGTGAGCTTTTGCTTCGATGACAGTTTCTAATCAATAAAAGGCAAAACGCACAATCAGCGATTCAACTGATGCCTAGCACTTTTGGCTGGAGGGGCAATAGTCAGCGATTGGCCTGATGGGGAAGCGGAAATCAGGTGCTTCTGACAAAGGTGCCAAGGCCTCCAAACAGGTCAAAGGGGCCACGTGTGAGAGCGAAATTGTTGCCAAGATCACTCAGTGGCTTCTTGACAAATATGCTTGTTCCAAATCGAAAGGTATGACTTGCATGTTTAAAGAGTCACTTGCCAAGTGCTGCGTGCACAGGTCTTCTTTTTTGGGCCTGAATCTGAGGCTGACGGAGAAAGTGTTTGCTGTTGGTGGGCCTGACCGGTACTTGTCCAAGATCTATCCGACTCAGGACGGTTTCACTTTCAACAATGTTGTGACTGACTCCAAACAGATTCAGATTCATCAAGTGGGACTCAGGAGGATATGTGTCAATTTGCAGCCTGGATTGACGACTATTGTCCAGCTGACCCAAAGTTACCTGATGGCATGTGATGAACATGTTGAAGTGGATGGTATGTTTCATTTTATCAGGAAGTAAAAGTTGTGTCTCAGTGTTTGATTCTTCTTTGTAGCCTCCAAGTTTAGGCAAACCTACTGCACATCTTGTGATGTGCACGCTGCGGTCCTTAGACCATGGATGCTCTCTTGGAGGGCAGACTTTGGTTTGGCAGGTTACATGGAGAAGGAGACATGTGAGGCATTGGCAGAACTAATTGTCTCCGAGGGCTTTCGGACCAATCCAGACGATGTAGCCGTGGAGAAGTTGAGCTGCTGCCAAGTGGCCAAGGAGTTCTTGGATTCTGAGTACAAGGAGTGCCCAGCGCTCAAGGATGGGTTCCTTGTTCGGCCCTTTTCCATCGGGTACATAAAGGGGTGGAAGAGATCTGTCTCTCTCTTGATCGTTCTTCAAGGGCTGCGAGAGCTACAGTTGGGCGATCAGCTTGAGCACCATGTCCGAGCAACTTGCTTGGTGTGAGACTGTGAGAACCTTTTATGGTAAATGATATGTTTGTGCCAGATTGATGGCTGAGTCTGGGTCTGACTCATGACTGATTATATACTTGGATGAGGTGAGTATGGGGACCATCTTTGCCAACTTCGCGTTTCGCAGCTCTGATGTTCGCAGTCAAGTGCTGGTCGGTCGAGGCCAGGTGATCTGCATTTCCAGTGCTCATGTTTGGCAGATCTTTTTATAATCGCGCAAGTCTACGGGTCTTAGACATTAGTTTATGGCTTGTATGGCTGTCATTTCTGAGCCTGTAAAAGAATAGTTGAGAATCACTCAAGCTGACAACTTGTCAGGTTCTACAATGGCAAGTGCTGTGCGCAAAACTCCAAACTGCTTCAACCTCCTGCGACAAATTGAAGTTCTTCAACGATCTGGCAATATGTCTGGGGCTGACAAAATGTTGGAGGAGAAGTGGGCAAACAAGAACCACAATCCCCCCTATCTTGCTGTTATTTTTGTTGTGTATTTTGTTTCAATGGATTTTCTTAGAGTCTGCCACAAAGACCTTGGGAATCACAACTTTTTATTATGACCGATTTGATTGTCTGTTGGATTTTCACCTGAACATGACTTGGGCTCCAGGATTGGGACAAAGCAACCGCAGTGGCACGTGCTTTCCGAATCGGAAAAAATGGAAGCTGGCGCAGTGTCAGCTTTGATGGGGTCTATGGACGCTACCATGCGCCAGCGTTTGGTTGAAAGTGTTCGTTCAAGAGGCATGAAGGGATTCTTGACGCATGAGCTCATAGCAAAGCACTTATTCTCCAACACGTTTTCATCGGGGAGCGGGCCAGCAGAAGCTTGGGCGATGGAAGCTTCCAATCGTAACGCTGAGCTGGTACCGGAGTTGTTTTTCAACACATGTTGTTTTGTTCATTTGTTTATGTTCTGACTCTCGATTCTATTGTGAATTGATGTTGTTGCTTTCATATGTTTTAGTTGTCTCCCAGGCACCTCGCTTCTTGCAGCGCTTGGAATGCCAGTTTGACAACACAATGGCTTCATTCAGGAAGGCCCCTACCTTTAAGGAGGCATGCAAGATCCATTTGACGACTGGCTTGTACTTGGCTTTCTTGGACAAGTTCAGCAAGTGGGCACCTCAGAGGCAATGGACCGAGATCAAGGTTAATTTGGACACACAATTTGACGCGGGCTATTTGGATGGAGACTTCGCGCACGTGGCTGAGGAGTGTGTCCCACCCATTGATCTTCGTTCAGTGTCAGCTTTCAGGCTGGTTTAAGTTAGGAATCCAAGACATAGTTCTAAGTTAGGAGCTTAAGTTGGATTTAAAATGTCTGCTTTAAACATGTTCAAAGCTATGACTCAAGGCACGACACCTTAAAGACAATGTTTTTCCGCGTGTAGGCAACACATGCTTCGCTTTGAGCAGTCCATGCGGCAGCAAAAGGAGGAACGGCAACAGGCCTTGGCGAGGGATGTTGCAAAGGCTAACTTTGCTCAAGTTGAGAATCAACTCCAAAGTGACATGACTGCATTGCGGGCTGCCCTTGGGGACAATACTACGCAGGCAGCTGAGACAGCGAAAGATGTCAAATACATGAGAGAACGGCAACAGCCGCTCGAGCTTATTTCAGTGTTCTTTTAATGTTCTATTGTTTTGAACATTTTTGGTTCAGTCTTTGACAACCATGTTACATTGCCTCTGCATTTTTGCGCATCAACTTGATGCCAAGGACTGGAAAGGACTATGTGGACACATGGATGCGTGAGCATTGCAAGATCATTGAGGGTGGGTCCGATGTGAACAAGTCCATGCAAGAGATCATGGCCTTTCTGGAACAGTTCCGCGGAATCGCTGGGAACGTGTAGCTTAATTTAAATTTAGCTGGAAGATATAGGTTGTTTCTTCCTCATTTGGAGGAGATGCACTGTCCTTTTTGGATGGAACCCATCACCAACTAATTTTGGAACATTTTCCTAAAGGTTGAATATGGGATCCATAAAAAAGGATCCCAAGTCCCTTCCATTATGCAAAACATGAAAGTGTTGTAATCCAAGGTATTTGATTTGCGGGCTTGACTTCACGATCTATCCAGCGAACTCTGAGCTCGTGCAGTCATCCTGCAATGTGCTTGCAACCTTGCTTGCGATGGGCAGCAACAACATTGGCCACATCCAATGTCCGATGTTTCATAAGCAAACATCAGAAATGAGCACAGTGAAGCATACGCGAACTATGGAGGACGCTTTGTTCAAGAACAATGTGAACATTGGCAAGCGGGTGGCGTTGCTCTTTGACAAACCGCCGGACAGCCGTGGAGACCAAAGAGCCAGTCATCAAGTCTGCATTGCAGCTTCACACAAGCTTTTTGCAAACACCTCTGCCTTCAACGCATCCGACATTGTTGTCAGCGGTCGAGTTGGCCCAGTCCCGCTTATCCGTGTCATTGATTTCATTGACTATGATGAATCATGCAAGCCGGGGCCTGCTGACCGAGTGGAACAGACACTTGGTCTATTTTGATTTTGAATACTTTTTGAAGAGGGGTGTGTTAGGTGTAGCCTTCAATGGTCCAGGAAACTTATATATGTGATTGGAGATTAGTTACATCCTGAGGAAAGGATTGCAAGTGCATAAGCGGATTATCACTAGCTATATGGAGGCAGATAACTTTGTGCAGACTGACAAGGACATTGTGGTTTGGCTCGACCTTGTTCCCAACAGGCAGGGGGGGCTGAAAAAGAAACATAGTATATTAAAAAGGTACAAGAAAAACTTGTTTCAGATGAACTGTCGATTGCCTAAATTTTGGAATGACTATATAGCTGACTAGCAAAGTGTTTCCCTGAAGAGGCAAGCTGAATTTGGCCGTGCGTGTGTGGATCGATTGCTGAATCAAGAAGGTGTACCAGTCCGTTACTGTGGAGTTTTGCAGAAAGGACATGCAGCAATTCGAGAGGCTCTTCAAGAAGCCAAGTCTTCGTTTGGTGGGACAAGTCTGAGGTGAGCCCACCAAAGGAGCGACCACGGGACGCTGCCTCAAGTCGCATGAGTGGCCTCAACCTTTCCATCGTGGCGATGACACATGACAAACCATGCTGGCCGGAGGCTGTCATGAACAAGTTTGATCCAAGCACCCCAGAGCATGGCAGCCTGATGAAGTTGAAGGAGGCTTTCTTGGCAGAGTTTGGAACCATCGCTGCTTCTGACGCCGCTGGCGCTTCCACCAATAGTGGCCAAGAGCGAGTTGGAGGTTCCTGCGACTACAGCATCGATGGTGGCATTCAGCCACTGGACACTGCCAGGATGATTGAGCCCGAGATCATGACCATGGACGCGTTCAACAAGCTTGACAGGCGGGAGAGGGTGTGTTTATCAGTTCTCGGCCATTTCTCCCGGCAATGGCGACAGCAATACATTGTTTCCAAAAAGATGTTAGCAAGTTTTCCTTTAAAACATGTTCATTATTGCGCTGTTCATCACAACCCTCATATCGAGGCTCGGGGTGGTCATTGGAAAGAGTGGCAAGCCTTCCATTGCCATCACAAAGGACTTTGATGTGTACCTCTACAACACCACCAAGAGCCCATTGAATCTGCAAGCGATGGAACTATTTGGATTCGGGACTGGATCTTTCGTTGACAGCGCAATCAGTAACTTTACAGAAGATGACAAGATTTTAAACCAGTGTCCTTTGTGATGTTGGTTGAATGATGAATGTTTTGTTTATTTACTGGTTGGGACCATCTTCCAAACACGTTTCATTGAATTGAACCAGAACATTTGGAAATCAAGACCCATTGTCAGGTGAAGAGCAGGCCAAGTGTGAGGGCACTGGCATTGTATGGCGATTGGAGACGGATTTGGCCATCATCGCTTACCAGAAGAAGTTGTACACCGTGTGTGAATTTATGAGGCATTTGGCCAACGAGCACGGATTGGCCCAGGTGGATCTGGAAAGCCATGTGGTCACCCAGAAGTTCCATCCACCAGTCACGGGGTTCAAGAAATGCATCTTCACTCTTGGACTGTTCTTACCCGATAGAATTAGAAACCAGAGGTTCCCTTGATTCCCTTCTCCCTTCAATTTTCGCAGCTTTAAGGTTGGCGCTGCGGCTGCAGTGCCTGTGTCCTTCAGATTCAACCTGGCGCCTGGGCCCAACATGGTCACATCCGTGTTCAAGCCAAATCCCATGGAGGAAGGATCGGCAGAAGTTGGAAAGCATATGCTTGGAGCTCTTTTCCACGGGGCTTATCAGAAATGTGTTCGCAACAAGAAGGCTTCTGTCGTTTGGGAGGCCAGCAGTTTGTACGTGACAATGACATTGAACTGTCATGACATTGGTTTATGCATGCAAAAGATTAAGAACAAAGGTTAGTAGTAGGTAGTTTGCTTCTTTCGTGGATTGGGTGAACATCTGTGCGTTTATTCATTTTCGATGCAGGTGGATTTCAGCTCAGCGCCAGCCAAGATTCAAGCTGCCAAACCGAAAGTCTTCCTTCTTTGTGGGATGCAGATTCCCCCGGAATCTGCAGTGAAGCTGACAAGCTCCTAGCTGCCCTAGCCATTTTGATAGCTGCGTGGAGGCTCATGGCATTACGCAGCTGGCAGTTCGACATATTGCTGAGAAGAAAATCACATAAGGTTCAACCCCAGACGTTGCTAGCATTTTCTGAATTACGCAACTGTGTTTTCTACTCTGCGAATGGGCCAGCAAATTTTAGTGTTTTTTTTCGTGATGGCATTTCACAGTGACCAGTGGAGCCAGATCTTTTTGCTCAAGCAAATAGTTGGTGGTTCGACACTGTCACTCTGGGCCAAATGCCAGTACTTAGGGCTATCAGCGAAGTGTCCAAATCTTCGGAGGAGGAGAGAAATGTTGTATCGCGTGTTTGCGCACAAATTGTGACTCTGTATGTCTGTGAGTGTGTGAGAGTTGATTGAACAACTGTTGAAAAAATCCAGGAGCAGTCGCCACAACCCAAGAGGAAGTCAGCCCTCAGGAAAGTCAAGGAGCCTTCCGACGCTGCAGGCAAAGGAGAAGCATCCAAGCCTGTAGTCAAGGAGAAAGCAAAGCCCAAAACTTTGCCCAAGAAGCGCCCGGCTGCTGCTTCTGCTACTGAAGCAGCTGCTGAGGAATCTCTACCAAGCCAAGCTACAGCCGCGTTGGACGCGTGTGAGAGTCAGAGTGCCAATGAGCCTGAAGCCAAAAAGAAAAAGAAGAAGGAGACTGGCAATGGCAAGGGATTGAAAGTGGATAGCCCTGCCTACTATAAGAACAACAACTCGTTTGGCATCAAAGTTGACGGCAAGGAGAAAATCCGTGTTCCTTGAACGACCTGTATAATTTTTTGTTATTAGGCTGACATAAGTTCTCACTCTGATCTAATTGTTGATGCTTTCTGTGTTGATGCTATTGATTTTGGGCCAAGGTTGGAGGCAAGATCTACCCCAAGGAGAAATCATTGGCAATCGCGGATATTTGGCTGCAACCCAAATGGAAGCTCACATGGTTCCAAAGAGCCGGCGGTCCTGTTTTAAAAGGAAGTTACGCTTCGAGGTTTGAAGGTTTGAGGGTAAGACTAAAGCAAATCGTTCTTCTTTGGACATTGTTTTTCATCCATGAGGAACTGTTGGTGACAAAGCTCAAGGAGGGTGTCCCGCTAGCCAAATGCCAAGAGATTCGTGTTGCTGGGACTGATTGGCCCGATTTAAAAGTTGTTTTGAATGTATCACCATTTGGATGGAATGTTTTTTGTCACTATGTGGTTTTGAAGCTATATGATGTAAGGACAAGCATTAACATACAGGCCCTTTTGAAGCACACAGCCTTTAAGGCAAACGCCATTAGAATTTACATCCCCAAGCGTGATTTCACATCAAACAGCATTGTGATTTGTGAAGCAACTCTTCTGAGGGCGAAATGATGCGTGCTATTTTGAATCAGATTACATCCTCTGCAGGGGAACCTACTGAGCCCGCAGCTTCATCCGCGCCTGGTCCTGCTGCAGAAGATGCCGGAGAAGAGGGTGAGGAAGAGGAGGGAGACGAAGCAGGTGATGACCCCATCGAAGAGCCAGAGAGTCAGGCTGTTGATATTGAGTGAGAGACTGATCTGTACAGAGACCGCCGCCGCGGGATTTCTGGGTTTCTTTCATGTAGGGCTTGGCATTGGATGTGCTGTGGCCAGCTCGGATGTTGTTGCAGAGGCGGAGCCATAAAGCTGTTTGTGAGACTTTCGCTTACTTCTCAGCTTACATGGCATTGCTTGGCAAAGTAGCTGGACAGTTTCTGATTATTTTGGAGCAACTAACGGCTAGGCACAGTTCAAGTTTTGAGATAATTGAATTGTTGAATCACTTGCCTTGAAAGCTGTCGCTGTGGTTTGATGATTGGCATTTTTCCAACTTGTTTGTCTCAAGAGTGTGGCTGTTGTGATTTTTATTTAATAAACGCGCCTCTCTTCAAGATCATGGCTCACTTGACTCCTGGAGCAGTGCAGAACTTGACGAACCTGTACAAGGCTACACTTGCTCAGCCTGCTGCTGACGGCATGGAGCCTTTTGAGTTTGTCAAGGAAGTGGGCACACAGCTGTTGCGGAACTTGGGTGTGTGGAGCACTACACTGCCAATGGCAGACCTTTCTGTGGGGATCCTCGCGGTGGTCACTCGCGAGAACCTTGAAAGGCCACACGTGGACCCGTCGATCACGTATGGAAGCTTGGCTCCAGCAAAGGAACCGCGCCCAATGAAAGATTTGAGTCACTTGGGCCATGAAGCTGCGATGAGATTTGCACATGAAGTGAAGAAGGCCGAGGAGGTTTTGATGTCGTGGACGCAGCTTGCTTGATAAAGTCTGGTTGTATGTTTGTTTCCTGAGGTGTTTTTGTTGACAGTACGAACTAACTGTCCTATGAGTTGGAATGTGATTTTTCTTCGAATTCTATTTTGAATTTGTTGAATTTCGTTTTTTTGACAGGTGGTGCGGCATTGAGAACGAAGATCTCTACAGGATCGTTTCGGATTGCATTTTGCTGCTCCAGGATGTACACAGCATTCTTTTGAATGTCAATTAAAGATCACAGATCTTCCTCTTTTGAATGTCAATTAAAGATCACAGATCTTCCTGCTCCAAAAGGTGAGCTGCAGTTTAACAATAAACCGCTGACTGCGATTGCAAAATGTGCTGGCAGTCATTTGCAATTTCGAGGCGGTCATTTTTTGAGTGACATTCAAAACATTGACAGTTTTTTTCAGAAGACAAAGACAGAAGACTTCAAATCTTATGATATCTAAAAGGATCCGTTCTTACCCCGCCCCATGTGTTTCTCTTTTGCTTCATCCTTCTTTCCTGCGCTGCTCTTGTTTGGAAAACATGCACAAAGACTTAAAAACAGTGCTCGCACATGATTCAACGATCACAAAAAAGAAAACGATGTAAATAGCACGCAGAACAGAATGTCCAAAACCCAGGGCACAATTCACCGCAACAACGCTCTTAGAACGGCAAAAAAAAACACCA